GGCCCAATACCAGCCCAAAATCAAGCTAAGCGTGGAGGCTCGCAGCTGGTTTGGACCATTAACAGCACTACTACGACACTGCCCTACTAACAAAATAGCAAAAACAACAAAAAAAAAAAAAAAGCGGTCAAAAGATAATATCTTCAAACCGAAAAGTAATTTTGAAAAAAAAAAAAAATGACTTGACCTATCACTTTATATATTTTTTTTTCTCTCTGTACATAAATTACTTAAATAAATAAAAATATATAAAATACTTGACTCTAATAGTCTCTCCCCCTTACACTTGTCCATTACTCTCCGCCGCCTTCGATCATATCATGAATATGAATTCATATGCTAGTTAGCGGAGTGCAATCTCTCTTTGCTCGTATTTGGTCAAGCTTCTTTTGTTGAATGGAGAGCGGTAATCGACAACAGAGAAAGATCGACAACAGAGAAAGCGCGATGAATTTGCGAATATAACAGAGTAGATGATACGAGTGTCGGAGAAAGGGGTATAGGACGAAAGAGGTGAAACAAGTCCGATCCACAATCCATAAATTTGACTGAAGAGTCCAAGCCATATTTATTCAATGGTTCAAAAGGCGTGTGGAACAGTCATTGATGTGGCCCCAAACGTTCCACAATTTTTTTTAGAAAATTTATCTTAAAAAAAGGTTTGGAGGATGATCTTGAAACCTGAAATACGTTTATGGGTTTAGGGTATGTTTGACAAAACAAAATTTGAATATTAAAAAAAATTGAATATTAAAAAAATTGAATAAAAACAAAATGAATTATACATGGAAAAATTTTATATAAGGGTAAGGTCCTAAACAATTAAATTAAGACGCACGTTAAAAATTCATAAGAAGATGTTGTTTTGATGTTGATCTTCAATTCGATCATTTCAACCTCAAGATTTATGAACATGAGAAAACTAGATTCCAAGTCTTAGGAAATAGTGCATCTTATAATGTGTTATCTACACCGTCAATTTTAATGTTTTTCAGGTGTTCATAGATGCTCGATTTACACCATTTTTTAATATTTGAATTTTATAATTAGATATGCAAATAAATTTTTGGGTTGTCTTAAATATTTCCGATACTAAAACAACATATTTTGGCATTATTTGAACATACGCTTGACTTTGATTGTTTAGAGCCTAAGCCTGATACAAACCATACCCATTATATAGTGTACCGATATATATTTTTTGTACATTTTGATCGATCTTTTATAGAAAAAAATAGGGTGCAAGCGATATACATCACACAACTCCCTCTCTCTCTCTAAAGATTAGTCACATCTTTATTTATCTCATGTAAAGATTTCCTTGGCATTTCTACAAAAAACCCCAAGAGTTTCAAGTTTCTTTCCAACCCAATCACACTTTGTCATTATTTTCTTGACCGGCCTACATTTTTTTATGTCCAAAGTTCGTGCAGATTGACTTTTAAGATTTGGTCTCGCTTCTAGTGCAGCGATTAGCATGGATAGTTTAGATAATCACCCCATAAATCGACATGGTTTAACTTGGATGAGAAAAGGTTAGGTCATTATTTCAAGAGAACGGGATTCTGTTACTTTCATGCGTATAAACATCAGGCATGGTCACTTTTCTTATGCCAAATCGTTTTTCCTTTTTTTTTTTAATTTTGGTCGTAGTTTGTGCTTTTGACTTCTACTTTCCTCGTGGCCAATGTTTAGTTTCTTTTTGTGTTAGAAGTGTACTATGAGTAATGCTTTGAGTGATTTACGTATGGACTCTAAAATTGGTAAAATACAAAATGCTTCGCTTATATGCGGAAATTATAAAGAAAGTAAGTAAACCCATATTTTTTTTCCCTAAATTTGCCTTTTAGTCAACACAAAATTTGATTTTTTTTTTAATTTTAAATTTTTTTTAGTTTTTTTCATTAGTAGAATAATGCCCTAAGCTTTAAGGAGCTGCCCTAACAAAACAACTAAAATAAATAAAATAAAATTCGGGTGAGGGAGGGTCCTATAGGATCATTACTCTTATTATTATTGGGACAAAGGTTGGTTCATAAGGGAAGTACTTGGACTCCACCATCTGAAGGAGTTCTAAGCTAAAGTTTGATGTGGATAGGAACCAACAAATCACTAAGTTCTCATTTTCAGGGCAAGTGGGTATGCAACAACTAATGAAGAAAAATGAAAGTTATACTATATATGGATTGAATTAATGGGAGAGGGGTACTCAAATATCATTGTAGAAGGAGATATCACTAAATGTAATAAGGGGGCTCAAGGGGGAACAAAGGATTCTACTCAAAATTGCCTCAACTGCTCCAAGGCTGGACGGGCCGGCCCGGGATCTGCGAGTTGTCAAGCCTAGTCTTCAGTTAAGTGACAAATTTCTTTTCAAATCCAAAATATTAATTTGATCAAAATGAGTGACATATTATTAACGGAAAACTTGTTTTTATCATGAAAGCAAAGGGCAACCCTAAATACTTAAATTTCGATTTAATGCGATATTTCCGGAGTTATCCGCGTTAGAACTTATCCTGATAAAATCAAGATAAAATGAAATTTCAAAGATAATTGTCACTTAGGCTTAGCAAGCATTGAAATGATATTAAATGACTCACACTCGACTAAAAGTAAATGATTCTCATTTCTCACATGTTTTCCTATAGGGATAGGAGCCAGTGTCTCTGGCTTCTCCCTCTACTATAATGCTCTCCAATAAATCCACCAACTATAAAGTAAACAGTCCCAAACTATCATTACATCAAGAGAAAAAGATCTCCTGGGTTTGGAGTTCGGGTCCATGTTTCTATTTCATTTTACCGAATTGGGTATTTATGTATGGAAAAAGTAATGATCTTATGAGACCCTCACACACTCATGTGTATAGGATCCCAAAAGGTTCACCATTGAATTTGTTACAAATCTTTAAAAAAGTTATCACATGCGTGCAAGATTTGACTTTTCTAGAGATCTGTACCAAATTTAATGGTGATCATTTGGAGTCCTACACATATGGGTGTGGAAAGGTCTCACAAGGTCATTTCCCATATGGAAAATGTTTATATAAGAGCAAGGCACTAACCAACCAAACTAAAGCGCACATCAAAAATTTATTAGAAAAGGCTGTTTCTATGCCAAGAAACTCTAAAATTCGATCATCTTGACCTTAATATGTATGGACATGAGAAAAATATCTTGAAAATAGTGTATATTGCAATATATTATCGAGGTCATCAATTTTAAAATTTTCAAGTGTTCATAGGTATGCTCGATCCACACTATTTTTAAATTTTAAATTCTATAATTAGAGATGAAAATAAATTTTAAGGCCATCATAAATATTTATGATACTGAAACAACATATTTCGGCAATATTTGAAGGTGCATACTACTTCAATTGTTTAGGGCCTTGGTCTTATACAAACTGCACCCTTTGTATGTTACTCCTACAGTTTTCTTTTTGGGACTAGGGGCCCATACCCTTTTAATGCATCTATCTGATAATTCACTGTGACATGGTTTTCCTCTTGGACTAAAGGTCAGGTCCCCTATTTAATGTTTCTCTCTCTTAATTTTACTAAGTTCCACAATGTTAGGTGCTTCATTTGATTAAAAAGATGACAAACTATTGTCTTCTTTCATCTTTGATGGCCCTCACTTTCCATGTTTGAGCGGATTACGAACCTATGAAAGGATTGACACTTCAACTAAAATTACTTGTATTGACCAAGCCGTGCAAATGATCAATAACTGGCATTTTTATTACGCAACCA